TATCAACTAACTGCATTGTATTTCAAATTCCAAATTTGAATACATCGTACAAGTTGTATTTCACTATGACATCCTAGAATAGCCGAGCCTATTTTAGTTGCATTTTCACATGTGGTTGCATTAGCCCATCTTAAATAAACTAGGATCATGCATGATTTCTAACTAGTTCCTTTGTTTTGGTTCGGAGTACACTGTGAGGTGTTTACGCTTTAGCATACTGCAGTGTGTTAATGTTGCCATGAAAAACATGTTACCATGAGGCTTAACGCTTAGTTGATTAAACTGCCTGAATGCCTGTGGGTGAAAGGTTAGGATTGCTTGAATTGAAACAATTTATTGAAAATCCGCATTTTAGCCTAACTGCGAGTAGCAAACTTCAAACCATTTTCCAAACAAACGATGTGCGATGCTTTGTTCCAAATTTAGGCGATCTAGTCTAATACTTGTTTTGCTGTGCGCATACATAGTAGATTAGGTAATTAATCGGATAAGAGCAGCATGTGTTTTCAAAAGACAAAGATATCATGCTTAGTACAGGCTGATCTTTGATCGGGCGAAGCAGGGGTGCTCATTAAATTGACCTTCCGCCAATCGTACTCAAGTTCCCGAGCCGGGCAACTTTGGTGATGACAGACAATGTGGCCTTTTTTTTCATGTAAATTTAATCATCAAAAACAAAACTATTCCGAGTAGAGTTCATGTGTAGAGTGTTTGTTATGTTCCTGAAAAGAACGAAATCCAAACTGACCCAGAAGCTTCTGATATGGATTAATTATTTTGGGTATTTGTTTAAGAAATTATAACAGTCCTCGGATGACTACAAACTACTGAAAGAGAATCACTGGGCTACGAAGAGGTATGACCTTGTATTGATTAAGAACTTGATTTAAATGCTAGCATAACATAATTTGTAATTTTATATAAATATAACAATGTATTATCAACCTTTTGTTTTGTTTTTTTTTTTTTTTTTAGGGAATGTTTTTAATATTTTAACCTGCGTTTTTTCTTTTTTGGTGTGGTTTTTTTTTATAAATTTGGTTTTTTTTTTGGAAAGAAAAAAATCTGACTTTTTTTTTTTTTTTTAAATTAGGTTTCTTTTGATTGTGTTGATGTACGTATGCATATATCTATATCTATAACAATCTATAAAAACAGCAAAATGTGCCTCTAACATCAATGTGTCTAACAGGTTAGATGCCAAATTCACCCCTCATGAAGATTGCCTCACAAGATATGCATTGTTGGGGCGTCTTCAGCAAGCTCGGTGGAAGAGGATGCTTCTCAAACAAGCTGCCCTTCACCTCTTGCCACCTGACCTGCTGCAACTTTCTCTTGAGTCTTCCTTCACAAGTTCTTCTATTTTATAATAGGTGTAATTGTTGCCTTGATGCAAATTGTTGTCAATCTTGTTCAAGAAACATACGAAGTATGCCCTTCCTCAACGTCCATATGCCATTAGTTGTGCAATCCAATTCTTAATTTCATTATTCTATGGTTGCTTGATTGAGAACTCTCTTGGCTCTCTGTGTCTGAGTTTGGTTTGTCCTCACATTGAATTGGATTTGTGGTTGTTGATTTGTACTTTTTATACTTTTGTTCTTTATCATGAATTTGTTCTTCCTGTTACATCTTATGTCTTCCAACTGTTTGATGCAATGCCCGAATGAAAAATTCATCTGTCTCTACTCATCTTCTTCTTCTATTGTATTTTGAAGTTACATATTGGTTTGGGTTTTAATATTGAATAAATTTATATGTTATTCCTCTAGACCCAAGAAAGAATATCATGAAACAAGAGAGAAGAAAATTAAGAATCCAAGAGAGCAAGAAGGTGGTAGAGAGAGAAGAAAGAGAACTAGAACACTTTGTTCTAATCAATGTCAATATTCTTCAATTGCACTACAAATGAAATTACATCACCCTATTTATAGGCTACATGACTAATAGTAGGACACTTGAAAAAAACCCAAACACCCTTAAGAAAACAAATACTCCAAATCAATAATGACTAAAAATGACTGAAAATGTTTTCTTTAATTTTGTGTTTTTGAATGTATTTGTGTGGGTAAGGTTAATCTTCATATTCTTAGAAGTGTTAGTTGTGTTCTTGTGTATTTTGTTTTGTGTTTTATGTATGTATAGAATGTTTTCTGTTTTTGAGTATTATTTTAGAAAACAAAATTGTACATTTTTATTTTTAATTTCTTTAAATTGCTTCTGTATTGAGGAATGTTCTTTCAGTTTCTATATCTGGATAATCTGTTGTGTAAAAACTGTTTTATGTGTAGAATATATATGTTCTAAATTTTTTCCATATTTAAAAAAAAAAAAAGGCCTTGGGAACTTGTGTTAAATATTTCTTTTTATAGGCTAAGAAAGAAAAAGATTGAGAAACGTGTGGGGTATGCAGAGTGTTAATTTATTTATATTTTATGTTATAAATTTTAAAAAATAAATTATTATTTCTTTTAAAATTTTGTTGGTTATTATTGATCTAGTCTATTTATTGTTACAGATTTGGCATTCTATGTTTTTGTAAGGTTATTTAATTCTCGTTCTTGACTTTGGCTATTGGTTGATTGATTTGAGTATTTACATTAACTGATGTTTGCATCTGTGCTTATCTTGTAGTATGATAATAAAAGCAAAAATGTTCCAGCACTTTGGCTTTGCTTATTCCCTGATATATATATGTGAATTGTTTTGTGATAAAATCATTTATTCCTTTTCTTTTAGTAAATGTCTTCCTTGATGCCAATTTTGTACAGAATTATATTTTCGTTGCTCTGTTATTTAATATTTTATTAATTTTGTTATAATTGTGTTATCTTTGTTATTGATATTTCAATTTGGGGAATACTTGGTACCCATAAATTTGCATAGAAAAATATTTTTTTTTTTCTTCTAGAATCATTCTAGGTACATAATCCACTATAGAAGAGTTGAATCCGAACCACACATTGATTTTCTGATAAATTTGTAGAGACATTCTTTTTTTTTTATAATCAGCAAAAGAGAACTCTTTATTGATGGAAATATGAAATTCTTATTTCATTAAAACAGATGAGTGCAAAGAGCATCATAGTGGAACCACTCAATTCCAACTAGGGTGGCACCAAGAATCCACCCTTCCAGGCCAACCAAGTAATGAATTTGGCTTTAGGTGTAGATAAGTTGTTCCATATCAGTCCAGCAGAGCTGTAGACAGAACCAAAATCCATATCACACCATTTATAGGCACTGCTAACCTTGAACACACCTGCTTGATCAGCCTTCCATTTCACAGATTTCTCATGCTCCATGCCTATCCTAGGCCCTGTTCCCAGAAAATCAATGAGTTTTAATAACTCATCTTCTTCCCAAGCATGTAGATTATTGTTCCCGAACACTTTTCACATTGACCGTCGCCTTATAATATAACTTTGCAAAAAATATAGTTTTATGTTATTCTAAGTAACTATTGTCTATCTATTAATTTGAGGAATGGTATTTTAAAATGTAAATTAGCAAATAATTATCATTGAATAAGGAAGTCTTAAGTCTTTGCTAAAAAGGAAATAGTAAATATTTTAATTTCAGTGTTTACGTTATAGTAGGTTGGCACATACTGCAGATTATTAGTATTTAGGTATTTGTTGATATGTATCTTTCTCAGTTGTTAGCATTGCCTTAGCATCTTATTTGTTGTAGTTGATGTTATATTCTCATCCTCTATAAATTCACTCTCGCTGATTTTATGACTCAATCTAGAATTTATTTCATATATGTAGGTGGGTGTATGAAGGGGTGATTGATGATCATTATGGTGAACTTTGGCGCAAATCATCATTATCTTGAGTGTATAAAAGCTGCGCTTAATGTGCATCATAGACCAATTAATATGACTGTAAGGAGGAGTGATTGGATCAATGTGAAGATGATAAAAGAAATAGAAGGCGAAGGAGAACATGCGCTTAGGTGATAAGAAATGACAAGATTACCTTAAATTAAACTGAGAGTATGACTTTGAATAGAATCAATTCGAGGAAATGGATCCAAGTTCCTTGCTACCCCAAGTAATTGGAATAAAGGCATATTGAATTGAGTATCTAGTAGTAGCTCAGATTGTTGCTGATCTTGGTGAGAACATGTTTGAGTGAGAAATTGTGTCAGCATCAGCATGGCACCTGCACTTAGCAGGATGTGTTCTGGTCTGTAGTAGGTGGTTGTCATCAATAAGTTCATTGATGTTTATTTCATGTTTCAGGTTCAATGGCCATTGTCCCTTGTTATATCAAGAAAAGCCTTAACAAAATACCAGCTGATATTCCGCTTCCTGTTTCATTATGAGCATGTGGATCTCCAACTTTGTGGGGCATGGAAAATACATCAAGTATGGAGCAGAAATCTGTTTCATAATTTGTGAATGTTGGCTCCTTTTGTTTGTCTAATTTCACTGCAATCTGATTGTAGGGTGTGCGTGCTGTTAACACAAAAGGAACTGCAATCTCTTGGTCATCTTTGTTGTGTCGTAGTATGCTTAAGTTTATTAATAGCCTTCTACACTATCTAACATTTGAGGCATGTTTTACCCTTCCTCTTCTCCTCGTTTTTATTTTTTAAATATATTTTTTTTCTAGCAAGAATGAAGCAATTATGAATTGCTGTGCCTGAAACAAATAGATTCAATGTCTCTTATCCACTTCTAATTTGTATTTGTTTGTCAGAGAGTGGGAACTTTGCATAACTAATCTAAAATATTTCTTCAAGGAATTTTGAGGTCCTTAGAGATATTATGTTTTCTCGTATGATCATACAATACGTTGTGTTTTCAGGTTCTTGAACCCAACTGGCATGTGATGCATAATAGACTACAAACTGCAAAGAGCATAGATGATGTATATATGCACTCCCTTACTGGTTTTGATGTATCATATAGTTATTCAATTTCATACAACCAAAAAATAAATAGAACTTTGTTTCTATATTTGCCTCAATTAATAGACTGGCAAAGCTTCAAACCATCAAATTCTCTTTTTTGTGTTTCACCTAATACTTTTGACTCCTTCTGTGAAACAGGTTATTGAATACCATAATTTTTCCCTTGAGAAGTGTATAACAGAATGCTTGCTTCTTTTGCCTGAAGTTCTTAAGGTTAGTTTTGATTTTTATCGTCAGTGTAAAAGATGAAGTTTCCTTGCTTAAGATCACACTTTATTAAGCTTTCTGTTTGATATATGCCATTTGAAAAATTTATGTTTTGAACTTTTGAACTAGATTATCAAACATGTCTTTGTCCCAAAGTTTCAATGCTTGGATTGAAACTAAAGCACCACCTGTCTCAACTGTCTTTTCTTGAAATCTGCTCATTTAGAGAAACCTTATTTGTTGTGCGTAACTGATAAAGTCTAGGGAATTTAATACAAAGACTTGAATCCCCTTTCCAATGATCAATCCATGTTTAAGGTGGCTTCATCAGTCCATGTTTAAGAGCTTACAACTCATGTTTCGAAGTTATGGAACACTCGACCCAACTTACCATCAGTTGGGTTGTGTTGTCTTGTTGGAGTAATATATCAACAGACTCTTTTTGTGGCCAATCTTGAAGATTCCCCGTGTTGTATTGGGGAAGAAAGTTGGGAACACGAATTATTGCTGCCATACAATTATCAACAAAACACAATGCCAACATTGAGGCCGCCAGGCATGAGATTAAAGAATTACACCCCAATGATCCTCAAATTGTTTCTCAATCAAGTATGGAGTCTGGAGAGAAAGGCATTATTCAGGTTCTAATTTCTTTCACCGTGAAAATTTGTTGATTGAACCATGATTTTAATTATGTGATGCTGAAATTCTTTCAAGTCTATTCTCTTTTGTCCAAAATACACTTTGTTCTCAGTTTCTACTTGGATTCTCATATTGTGATTCCTTGGATTAAACTTGAGTTGGCACAATTAATTTGAAAGTCTTTAGGTTTTTTTTATTTATTATTTTATTATTTCCATTATGTTCTGCAAGTAACAATTGGCTATTGTTTTCTATTGTTGATTGAACCTAGAAATTTGTAAATGACAGTTTCATTTTAACCTTTATTGCCTAAGCTGTATAGCCTGTGTTAGATTTTAGATATTCTTTGCATTGAGTATGGATATCATAACCTCCTTGTGGTGCTCGATTCATGTATATGTTACAATCGTATTTATTTATTTATTGAAATAAATATCAAATGTGTTATCTTTTTTGTAAGCTTGAAATTAATTATACTGTAAATAATTTTTTGTTTTCTTTCTTTTTGCAGATGATACCCTTTTGAGTACGTGATGATTTCTACGCACATCAATATTGGAGTTTACTGTTGATACTAAAACAAGCTATAATATATATGTTTGTTTATTTGTACTGTTGATACTTTTGTTTTGTTTTAGATAAAAATTTGACTTCTTGAATTATCAAAAACTATTAGCATTGTTGGAGGATATTTCATATATTTTTGTAAAGAATGTTTGGTTGATATTGTATTGTTACAGGGTACATATATATATATTATATATTATTCCTATATATGATTTTGTGAATGTGAATGTGAATGTGTGTAGATGTGGATGTGTTTTTTTTAGAAAATATTAATAATTTGTACAGGGAATAAATTAATAAAATATATATTTATTTTATTAAAAAATTTTTTTGCGACAATAATAAACCGTCACTAATGTAATCATCATTTCCTTATATTTTATTAGCGACGGATTAACCTGTAGCATATACATATTAGTATCATCTTTAGCAACGGTTTAAATGTTGCAAATATATTATTGATTTAATTTTGGTTTTTTGCGACGTTTAAGATCGTCGCTAATAATACTTTTTGCGACAGCAATCAACATCGTCACTAAAAATGCCATTTTTTCCCCTTTTTTGTGTCAGGCGAAACAGTCGCAAAAACTATTGATTAGCCGTCGCTTTTACAAGAAAGCGACGGTTTCTAACCATCGCAAATACTTTTTGTCACGCCCCTTTCCGCCACTCCCCATTTTCCGTCGCTGCTCCATCGCAAAAAGTCTTTTGCGACGATATATGGACCTTTTGCGACGTTTGACACCATCGCAAAAAGCCCGATTTTTAGTAGTGACATTTAATCATCTTCATATTGCAGAAATGAAAAAGAGAGAAAGGTAATGTGGATTGCTGAAGCCAAGCACAGAACTTTCCAAGAAATTTCTCACATAGGGTGTGTGTTCCTTAATTGTAATTGCAAATTCCTCATAACATCAACATGCAATAATACAGTTTCTAAACCCTGTCAGCCCACAAATCTCCTATAGGAATTTCTCAACCCCAATTCAAAACACGCCTAATACTATATTCTATAGCTCAAGTTTATCCACTGACCTTTGGATTAATCTCAACCACTGGAAACTATAAATAAATAGTCCTAAACTCCCATATGAACAACACCAGTCAAAGAACCATATCTCATCAAAAACTACTTTATCAGAACTCCTCCAAAAAAAAAAAACAAAAAGATAACAGAGCATTGAACTATAATTGACAACATTACTGAACCAGATTGAATTATCCCTACCAAAAATATCATTCCCACTGAACATACACCCCATTAAACATAAAATCCTAAGGTAGCAAACAAAACTAAAAGTGGCAAAATGAACACACAAAATTTTTTTTTTTTTTAAAAATATTCACATCAGCAATGAAACATCAAGTCTTGATAAAATCCATAGTGAAGAGAAACTCACATTCTAATTTAAAAACCTTTAAAACAATAACAAACAATAGCTCGAATGGTAAGCAAGACAAAGATTTCATACCTTTCTTTCAAGTTTCACCAGTCAACACATGTTCTCTAAATAAAAAGTTGAGTTGGGCAATTTGGGTTTGGACTCCTGGTTACGAAAAAAATGAAACACAAAATCTACAAAATCAATAGCCAAATCGAATCTCAATCATCATTAATTAAACCACATAAAGTCCACCGAAATAAACAATTTAATGTAACTGGAAAAAATGACACAAATTCAATCATTTGTACAATACATACATACACACACATACATATGTATGTATTATAAACACATATATACCAGTCTATAGATATATATACATAACAGAGAAGAAGAAGTTAACGTAAGATCTGCAGAAAGATGAAGTCAAAACCTTTACCAAGGATAGATTGGGGAAGAATTAGAGTTGTTCATCATCGACACAAATGTTTAAAAAGAAAAATCTAAAAATCTCTACACTACCAAAACATCGATAACACAAATGTTTCAAGACCCCAAAATCGAAACTATACGTCAATCAAACAAACTAACCAAATACAAACTAATTGAATATAGATCCAAGCAATTTCAGAATAAAAAATGAACAAAAACAATTGAAATCGAATGCAAATCAAAATGTCTATTGTGTAGCCATACAATCACACGTTAATTAAAAAATGTGATTTAAAAAAAAAGATATAATCACACTTAATTAAAAAGTGAGATAAAAAATAAATATAATCACACTAAATTAACTTAAGTGTGATTAAAATATTAATTTGATTTTTTTAATCACACTTTCATTAAAAGTGTCATGTTTTAATTTCTTTAAGTGTGATCTTTAAGCATTTTTATAGTAGTATGAAGTTATGATTTTCATCCTTACTTCAATCTGGTAGCGGTGTCTGGCTTGCGCGCGGACAAGGTCATTGAACTTGCCCGGCAACGCCTTTCAACCATTGGCATGGGCTTCACGGTCTGCATTTTCACAAACTTACTCATTTGTCCCATGTGGGCTAGTGATGAACTTCATCACTCTACAACCTCCAAGTTCCAAAAGCTTGCTTCCTGTATTCAAGGTATAACAATTGAACAAAACAACAATAATACAAATAACAACCATCTCAATTTTTTATGCTTTATGATAGAATTCTTCCGAAAACTCAACATCAAAATATATTTGAATTCATTTTTTAGCTTATCTATAAGCTTTTGTTTTTTTTATTCTTTTTTTCTGAACTTATCAAAAAGATTGAAATGCTTTTGGGTGATCAATGTAGGAATCTTGGAGGAGTACTTCAGAGTAGTCAATGAGAAGGAAAAACAGCCTGGTGCCAATTTTGCCAATTGCAAATCAGTGATACACTCCAAGTTGAGCGATGAGTCTCTGGTATATTTCTGTCAACTTACTAATAGAAAATATTTTGTAAAAGGAGATTAACTACTTTTCCATTCAATTGGAGAAAATTCCAATGACATTAACCTTTTTTTGATCTACTTTCCTTCTCATTTTCTCGGGAAAATTTAGTAGCTTACATGCATGGATCAAAATCTCTGTACTATTTCAGGCAAATTTTGCAAGATGGGAACCATGGCATGGAAAATTTGGGTTCTCATATCCCTGGGATAAATACCTACAAATCGGAGATGTTCTTCGAGACCTTCCTGCTACCATTATTTCACTTGAAGGGTGTCTTCAATCTCCTAGACAGGTCCGAAATTCATACTCTTCCTCTTGGTTTTATTTACTTTTTAGACCCGTCTCGAATAGATAAACCTAAAAATTTGAAAAGAGAAAAAAAAATTATTAGACAAAAATAAGCCAGTTTTTGGAAGTTTAGAGAATCCTATGTAAGATTAAAACGAATTCACTCAAAGTTTAGAGAATCCTATGTAAGATTCCCACTCCGAATGGTACCGATATTGTTAGCTTTAGCTAGGCCCTCACAGTTTTAAAATGTATTATCACTAGAAAGGGATGTAGTAGATATGTAGCCCATAAACTTTTTCTATCTAAACTATGCGAGACAGGATGTTACAATTTATATTGACATTTTGTTCCAATCGTGTGTGATCAGCCTTCATCAAATCCACGACAGTCGATCAAGGAACCGTGTGAAGCAGTTGGCTCGTTGCTCGCGTGGATTCTTGGAGAGCTCGGAGAGAGCATTATAAAAATGGAAAAATGCCGGCCTAAATCCTTGATAGCGTCAAAATTGCAGTCGATGAGAGCAGAGCTTAGCCTACTCACTTCTCCTTCCAAGCTAGGAGCATCGGAGAACGGTGAAGGACTTGCTATGGCTAGTTTTGTGTTCTTGTTGATGGAGATAGTAGAAAAAGTGGAAGTATTGGCAAAAGAGGTCGAAGAACTCGGTGAACTTGCTGATTTTCAAGCTAGATAGATGGCAGTTTTGATTGAGATGTGAGCATTTGATGCTGTATACATCCATCAGAGCCAATTTTTTGGCCCTTTAAATGTACATATATGCATAAAAAAGATTAATTTATTATTGAAAGGGAGGAGATCATATGGCCCCAAAGGGGGGTGATTACTATGCTACTGTATGATGATGACAAAGGAAAATGTTTGAGGGCCACAATTTTTGTGGCCACAATGGCTCAAAACTGCCAAAACGACGTCATTTTGAGTGCAAAACATGCCAAAACGACGTCGTTTTGGCAGTTTTGAGCCATTGTGGCCCCAAAAATTGTGGCCCTCTAGCATTGTTGGATGACAAAATATGGGATTATATATATGTTTACAGATTTATATAAATTAAACTGAGGGATGCTAGTTTTCATTTCAAGGCTGTGGGCTGTTCTAATTTCATTTTTGGTCCCCTTTAAAAAAATGATTTTAAAAATTAAAAAAAAAAATTAAAAAGTGTTAAGCACTTGCAATGTGTCTGCCATGAATTCTTTCATGAATTCTTTCAATTAGACACTTGCCAAAATTCATTAATGTCATTAAATAATTTCAAGTTTATAATAATAAGAAATCCACTAAGAATATGATAATCCCCAACTCTAGTGGTTTCTTTCTTTATAACCAGACTATACCCTGTCCCATCCTATTTCAAACCAAAGAAAGAAAATCGTCTTAAATTCGAATTGCATAGTGAATCTTCTTTCTACTCGATTTATTCCAATAACCCAAAAGGAAAGACCGAGAAAGGTTTTAGTTGAACATTGTTTCTCTTGTGATTTGTAACTTGGTTATTTCAAAACCAGGGACAGTACTCTGCTATAATATTGAAAAATCTAGATTAGAAGAAGAGGAAGAAGCAGATGACCTTGGAAGCATTCAACCTGACTCGACTCCAGCGTGAAGCTGCGGTCTCTGGTTTGGAGAAATTGAAGAATGTAATCGTACTGTGATTCAACCGAGCATAATTGATCGCTTGCCACCTTCAAAAGCATATATAAACAAACATCTACTGTAATTGATTTGAGCTTATACATATATACATACATATTTAAAAAAAAAAAAAAAGATCAAAACCCCCCAACCAAAAATCGTTGAATCAAATGCCCTAATTCAAAACCCCCAACTATAAATCGTTGAATTGAAATCCAAATAGTTTAATCAAATGCCCTAATTTAAGAAGGGAAGGGTTTCAGAAAAGAAAAGAAACAAACTCTAGGTTTAGAACGTTACCAAAATTGCAGGTCTTTCCCAAGCCAATGAGTTTCGAAAGCTTCAGAGTAGTCAATAAAGAACACCGTCTATAGCGAAGAGGGTGGGTGTCTATTGGGGAAGAGGATTCGAATTCGGGGAAGAGGAGGAGACACAAAGGTTGTGCCGATGAGGTGTTTATCGTTCCGAGAGAGAGAGAGAGAGAGACAGAGACAGAGACAGAGACAGAGCATGAGAAGAAGAAAAGAAGAAACTGTTGTGCGTGTGTGATGGGTGGGAACTCTCTAATGTGTAAAATGATCTCGGCCATTTATTTGTTGTAAGATCTGTGGACCATTCTAATCAATTATAAAGGATATATATTTTCATAGAAAGGATCAATTATAAAGGATATATATTTCTTTTTGATTAGAAATGGTCAAAGAGTTAAATGTATTTTGAAATATATTTTTTTAATTTGTTTTTTGGTGTTGGGGCTTTTTTTTTAAAAAAAATTATGAATTGTATATTTTATATAAAAATTAAATTGGAATATTTTATACAAACACGCCTATTTAGGAAGTGTGATTAAAAAGTAATAATCTATATATAATCACATTTTAATTAGAATGTGTGATTAAAAAATATATAAATAATCACACTCATTTAAAAAGTGTGATTAAAAAGTAGTAGTGTATATATAATCACACTTTAATTAGAAGGTGTGATTAAAAAATATATAAATAATCACACTTTAATTAGAATGTGTGATTAAAAAATATATATACAATCACATTTATTTAAAAAGTGTGATTAAAAAGTAGTTGTGTATATATAATCACACTTTAATTAGAAGGTGTGATTAAAAAAATATATATATAATCACATTTAATTGAAAAGTGACATAAAAAATAAATATTATCACACTTAATCAAATCAAGTGTGATTAAAACATCAATCTAATTTTTTTTATCACACTTCCAATAAAAGTGAGATTTTTTTTTTTTGTGTCAAAGTGAGATGTTTAACTATTTTTGTAGTAGTGACAAATAACTAAAATTGATAATGATAATGTGCAATTGGATGATTGTTAATATAAATGGTGGAGTTGGGCACGTGTTGTCTCTCACCTATGGGAAATTGAATAATTTAACTATTGAGAAGATTGTATATTTGTTTAGAAATATCTGTCTTGGGCTATCGGTGGATAATAGCTATGATTGTTGTAGAAATTGCATAAGGATTAGGTAAATTGAAACTAATCTATTGTTGGTTGTTATTGAATATGACTATGCTTTAAATACATTGTATATGTATGATGTTTGGGAGGAGAGAGAGGATGTACTCCATTGTTTGAGAGGAGATAGGGGATGGACTCCATTGAAATTAAGTTGGCCGGAGTGTCCAGGGTGAAAGTCTCGAAATCTTGTGTATACATGGGTGTCGATCCAGCGGACAAAATTTTCGTAAAATGGCAGATTGAAGTGTTTGTGTAGTAGTGTATTGAGTTGGAAAACTACTGAGTTGTAGTCTCAGTTGGGTTATTGAAAGATAATGAAATTGACTCATGAATTGAGAATAATAAATGAACTTGAAATGAATTGAAGGAAAATGAATTGAAATATGAACCTTGGTGCTTTATGGTTATATAAAATGTGGATATTTTGTCACCAGCATTGTATATGCACATTACACTTACATTTTGGTTAAATTTCATATACTGTGTTAGATTGTTCCTACTAGGCTTTGACTCACCCTATTTAGGAAAAACCATTTTCAGGTGCTGCTGACATGCCTCCGTCAAGGCAATAGCTTGGAGGGACTTTTGGGAGCAAGAGATTCTTTATTTGGTTATATTCTTTTGTATAGCCAAAGGCATAAATTGTACTGAGCTAGGCTCACTTTTGTGTAACCAAGCAATGACTTGGAAAGATGTAAGCCTATAGGGCATATGACTATTTGTTTAGTTTCAATTCTCTTATCATTACAACACATACTGTAGATTCAAGATGACATTTATGAATGTATATCGCATGTGTTAACTTTTGTAAACGAACTCTGATGAATGAAAGTATCCTATTTCTATTATTCTTCCTCTTATGAGTTGGATTTATCGTATTATTTTGGAGGCGTTACAACTTGGTATCAGAGTGTACGGGGTTTTAATACTTTGGGTACGTGGGAAGTGGTTAGTATCACAATGGTTTGTCTCACTCGACTAAGACGTTCGTATGTATTGTATGTTTATGTGATAACATGCTTATATGATTATATGGGTATGGGATTTGGTTCCTAAGATGTTGATTGGGCCTACGAGTTTCTGAAAGTCCTATTAGAAGAGCACTTGATCACTGTTGTTTCTAATTAGAACTCTAGCAATGCCTCGGGATGGTCATTGACGAGGAAGGGAATTCATATGTGTTTATGTGATTACGTGCTTATATGGAGTGATTTATTGTTGTTCATCGCATTAGGACACAAGTGAGTTAGCTTCGACACATTTGTAAATGTGCTAATACCTTTTGTTACCTTTATTAGGATGTCAGGACATGGACGTGGTGGTGGTAGGCGTGGTAGGCCTAGAAGGCATGAGATGCCTCTATCGGATGATATTCCGGCACAGAATGAAGGGATTGGTTAGGCCAATGTGGCCGAACCAGTTGGTCAACAGGCCATGGATGCCTTAGCCCGCGAAATGGCCGGAGCATTGCGGGAATCCATGGGCATGCTCAGGACTGAGAATTAAGTCTAGGCCCAAGTAGCTGAAGCAGGGCCATCTTTTCTACAAAAGAGTTTTTTCGATCAAATCCGGATAAGTTTTTGGGTGATCCCAAGGAGCCACTGAAAGCGGATGAGTGGCTAGAGCAGATGGTGAAGATGTTTGAGATGCTCGGCATCGAAGATAGGGTTTTGAGAGTGACCTTTGCGTCCTTCTAGCTGAAGGCAGACATGGGTCAATGGTGGAAGTATGCGAGAGGGCGCATTGGAGGGACTTGGGAGGCTTTTGTCGATGTCTTCCAGGACAAGTTTTTGCCTCCCACTGTTAGGGA